GTAATCTGCCACGGCAGGCAAGCCATAGTTTGAAGTGTATTTTTTAGTTTTCAGACCCACATTATAAATTTCGAGATAAATTCTATCTTCAAATGTGGAATCTGAATAGCTTAAAACATGCGTTTTAACGTTTGGAATATAGAAGTATCGTCATTTTAATATCGTGCTCGAGCCTTAAAGGCAATTTTGCAATTTTATCCCCGATCCAGAGCGGTCTGTTTAGAGGCTTATGACGTCAAAGGTGCAATAGAAAATGTGTGATTTCAATATCGATTGCCTGGTTACGCGTGTACTGAATGACGCAACCCTCTGCATTTGGCAATGAGTAATAGGAGAATAGAATATAATATTTATGATGATATCAAATATTTATTGTTTGATAATGCGTTGTAAAAAACGCAGCAGTCACCGATAGACTTCGTTTTGTGGATCTAATAAGAGAATGATTATGATCTCAACTAAAGGTTTCTATAATTGTGAGGTTCGCAGTCCATTTCCGCTTTTATTTTAATAAGTTTTCATGAAGATAAAGCTCTTGATCATTAAACATCTTTGAACTTCCATAGTTTGCTTGTCATAAAATCAACAGAGTAGTGGAAAAGAATGAAAACAGATGTTGATAAATGCAATACAAATTAGTTGCTACACCGCATTGACATCCATTGAAACCCTGATATAACCGTTACTAATATCATCTCATCAATTCAATTCAATTCAGAACTTTATTTCAGACTCAGCTGCACAAGGCAGTGGTCCATAAAACAAATGTTACACATAGATAGGGAAAATAGCGGAGTATGAACATGATGAGTATAATAACAACAAATCGTACAAATGAAGAGCTTGATTCCAAAAGGAGCTAAATCCATATTTTACTAAAACTTAGTTTTTTGTCTTAAAATGATGGTTTCCTACATAGGGACAAAATGCACTATATCACATTTTAAAATTTCACCAGGAAGTATGACATTTTTTAGTTACAATATCATGTTTCATTCCAAAAGGAGCTAAATCCAAATTGGTTTCAGTCCAAATGGAGCTAAATCCACTTTGGGTAAATCACCTTTTTTGTTTCTCCACTTTCCCTTCAGCCATGTACCTTCATGTTGTTATTTATGTTAAAGGTGTCGCCCTGGACCAATAATATATGATAAGAAAAAAAATCTACCTGTTTTTTCTGATTTTTACTAAATTATTAAAATTTGTGGATTAAACTCCTTTTGGAATGAAACATGGATTTAGTTCCTTTTGGAATGATACGGATTTAGCTCCTTTTGGAATGAAACTTTAATATGTTGTTTACTTCCTTTTCAAAAGGTATTTTTAGATGTGATTTCACTGTTAATATTTGAAAGGAAATGTTTGCTACTAAATTTAAATAAATTTCAGTGACTTTATTGAGATAATATTCTAAAATATCACAAATTTCAGGTACAATATCATGTTTCATTCCAAAAGGAGCTAAATCCACGAAAAATAAAATTCTAAAAATTAATAAAAAATCAGAAATAACTTCTAGATTTTTTATGATCATATATTATTGGTCCAGGTTGACACCTTTAACATATATAACAGCATGAAGGTGCATGGCTGAAGGGAAAGTGGAGAAATAAAAAAAAGGTGATTTACTCAGAAGTACCTAAAGTGGATTTAGCTCCTTTTGGAATGAAACTCTTCAAATACTAAAGAATATAACAAACTAAAACTATACTACGTATATACAATGTTACTGTAACATGTAACCTGTATCTGTAAAATTGATAACAGAAGGCCTATAGTAATCTAACTCTAAGCTGTACATGTAACTGCAATATTAAAATAAATATTTGTATAACAAAGTGAAGTAATTGTAACAATCTCTGCTCACTAACTAGAACAATTAATATACTAATAATAGATAACTAGATATTATAACAAGCAACAAGGACTAAGGACTATACTGCAACCATAAGAGGCTGGATAATCCTTGGTAACATCATGCAAAATATGATCAATTCCGAGGTGTAAGCAGGCTATTAAGCCAAAATTTCCAGAAGCCCGATCATCTCACCAGAAGATGATTCTGCTGCGATCCAAAGAAATCAAGAAAACGTGGTGGATCCTGGCTTGATCTGTTCGATCCTCATCGATATCACAATATAACTATTACAGATATGAGCACGTAGCTAGCCTGATTCCTAAATTAAGACAAGCCCGTTTTAATTAACAAACTTTCTAATCAATGTAAATCATAAAATCTAGATGTTATCGGTTTAATAAATAAGTCAGATTGGACTATTATTATTCTTCTTATTTCATTTTTTCCTTCAGTATTATTGTCCTTCCTGTTGTTGTTTTACTTCTTCCATTCTTTAAAAAAAAACATTATTCATGGTTATAATAATAACAATACAAATTATAATTACGCTATAATGATAACAAAAAGATTATTAACTCTGTTGACCATTGGAATATAATCAAAGTAGATCTATAAAGTCGTCTCGTTTATACGTACAGGGTGGCTTTTAAACGTCCCGTTTGTTGGGGTGGTCTGATTGTGCGATGTAGTTATTCTGTAACTTGGAGTTTACGTCATCAAAGCATTTGTTATAATGTATTCCATGTAAACCAAACAAATTTAATCACATTATTATTGTCTACACTTTAAATGATCTAACCGTAATTGCGCAAATTAGGATTTGTAGTTCACCAAATGCAAGGGGTTAAGTATTCATATTTCAAGAAATGATCGGTTCCTTCGTCGCTATGCTCTCCCTCACATGCTAGTAAAACTTTGTTTTTAAAATTTAATTCAATGTGTTTGCGTCCTGTTTTGTAAAATTCTTCGATTTTGGTCTTTATTTTACCTTTACATCTACATCTCCACCCCGTTGTATAGTGTATTTTGCTATAATTTTTTGAACTATGAATTATCATATCATCACTCTCCACTGACAGACCTTTTTATTCATTTAGTTTTCCCTTTTCTATTCTCGAACATTTACATGTATTTACTACATAAATATTAATGACTATCATTATTTGAGGGAACCACATTTTACAAGCCCTGCTTCTCAGTGGATCCCTTCATTTCCTTTGATATCCCCATTTCACTGATTCTTAATGAATTTTTCAATTTCGTTTTTCGCATTAAATCGCAACTCTCAAAGGCTGGAACTCAATGTAAGTTGTATTTTACATAATTCAAGGAAATGCAAAGGGAATTGTGAAAACTTTAGAAATAATTGTTTTTCACGTGTGCATCTTTGCATGGCCGTTGATTTTAATGTCGAAAGAAGACGTAGTTGCTTGGATTTATGCGGGGTCTCTTCCATTTGTTAAGTGTTACATTTTATTGATCTTTTCCACATCTGCAAAATTCTATGTAAATCACATTTTACATAATTTCAAGGATAGGCTGAGGGAGATTTAATCAAACTTAGAGTCCAAGTTTCACTTGTTAACCTATGACAGACGACTCAAAAGCATACATAGTCCTTGGATTTATGGAGGCATTTATTGAAAGTAAATGTTTAAACAACGTTTTTCGTACATCACCTTTGCTCTTGTGCCATTATCAGACTTTAAAATGATGGAATAAGGTATGAATTATTGAGGCAAAATAGACATATTAACACGTGTAACTTTTCGAGCCAGTTTTCTACACTAAGCAATTTCCGATTGCCGAGCGTACTGAGGAAGAATGTTAAGTAAATTATCTTTGCTACTACTACATCTACTACTACTACTACTACTACTACTACTACTACTACTACCATTTACTACAACTACTACTACTACTACCATTTACTACTACTTCTACTACTACTACGACTACTTCTACTACTACTACTACTATACTACTACTATTACTACTACTACTACTACTACTACTACCACTACTGAATCTACTACTACTACTACTACTTGTACTACTGTTACCATTTACTACTACTACTACTACTACTACTACTACTACTACTACTACAACTACGACTACTACTACTACTACTACTACTACTACGACTACTACTACCATTTACTACTACTACTACTACTACTACTACTACTACTACTACTACTACTACCATTTACTACTACTACTACTACTACTACTACAACTACCATTACTACTACTACTACTACTACTACTACTACAACTACTACTACTACTACTACTACTACTGCTTCTATTAATGTTACAACTAGTAGTAGTAGTAGTACATGTAATAGTTGTGGTAGTAGTAGTAGTATTAATTGTAGTTGGTAGCAGTATAGTAGTAGTAACACTGGTTCCGAAGATCAGATATATATTGGCTTCTGTGAAATATTATTTATGGGCAACCATTATGCTAAAAATGGTATTGATATAGCCATAAGTTATCTTGATATCTCCTCTTCACTCTCATTTCATCTCCCTCGTTTAATGTCTTTTTTTTGTCTCTCTCTCTCTGTGACTCTCTCCCCTCTTTTCTCCTCTATACCTCTATCCTCCTCCCTCTCCTTTAATTCCATTTGGGCAATTCCTCTTCTTGTGTTTTATCTTAAGGTTGTGTTTGTGTTCTGATATGTCTTTGTTGTAACATTACAGTTGGCGTTATGTGCAACATCTACAGTAAATACTTGCTTAAAATACATTTATAGACCCTTCTTCCGCTCAATTATTGCCCTTTGAGCAGCTGGTATTTGCATATTGATTTTGCTGATATGAGAGTCATATTTCCCCTGTGCTTCATGTTGTAAAATACATAATAATGAATAAGACTCATGTTGCGCTTTGATTATTAGGTCAGGTTCAACTTAAATTGTTTGGTACATGGTTGAAGTTAAGAATTTGATTATTGTTAGATACTGGTAGAGGGGTAACTGTCACTGGGACATGATAATAAAACAAAATAACTTTTGACCAAAATACTACCAGGCAAAGAAAGGGGGTCAAATTATCATAAACCTATTTCGTTTTTAAGGGGATTACGGACCCCCTATGATTCCCCCGATCCGCCCTTGTATGCATACCAAAGGGTGGTCGAATATGTATTCCGATGGGGTAGATACGACGGGACGGTGGGTCTTGGTGACGTCACTTTGGCTAAGCTTATGGTTACTTCAGCTGCCAGTATGGAAAGGAAACAAAAGCGACTCAGACTGGACCCACCAGATCTAGAAATCTAGAACATAAACTATAAAATTGAATCTGGACAAGTGTTTAACACTCAATAATTAGTAAGGCCTATACAGTGCGTCCCAGAAAAAACGAAACCGAGAATTATTGACGTTTTATCATAACTTAATCACAATTATAATTAATAAATGACACATATTTGTAAAACTTAGGTCCTTCTCTTTCAACGGATGCAACTCATATGACTAGTTTTGAAGAGAGGGAACCAAAAAGTCATTTAGCGGAAGGTATGTGCATTTCAAACAGATAATCACATTTCTAGAAAGTTCATTTTCTGCTCTTTTATATAATACCTCTATCAGGGAAAATGAGCTAGGAATTACAAAGCTCTGTTTGGTTAAAGCTATGCTTGCATTTCCATAATTTTATTAAACGAATTCGTTTTCACTGGCTGCCTGCCGTAGCGACAAACAGAATTGACAAAATCCGTTTCATTGACGATCAGCAATAGAGACAAAAGACTTCATGCATGGCTGATTGTCAACGAAACGGAGTTAAATCTTTTGTCAATTTTGTCATGCAATATTGATTATCAATTGATTATTGGTCGCTACTGAATAATAAACTGGTTTTCAACTGGTAAAAAATGGTCTATAGAATTATTAACAAAAAAACTTCTGTTTGTTGCTACGGCAGGCCGCCAGCTATGCATCCCAAGAAAAAATAGGTTTTATTCATTAGTCATTAGTTTAGTTAGTTATATTTTTTAGAATTAGGGTTAGGGTAATATACCAGTTTTTAAGATGTCCTGTTAATTTCACATTTAGGGTAATAGATGTCCCGTTGATAGTGTGTGTGCGCGCTTTGCATTTATACATTCAAGTCATTTTGACTTACCAAACTCTGAACGGGGCCACGTAATCCAGTCCCTTGTTCATTTGCATATATACGACCCGGACTTTGGCTGACTGGAAATATCTGTGACGTCGAGCAAGCCTTTTATGTCACGGGATTCAGTGTCAGAATTCATGCATGTACATTTCTTATTTCGATTTCAAAAGTCGAAGAAATAGCAAGCTAGCGTGGTGTGCTGCTCTCTCTACATTTTTTTCAAAGTCCAAACCTATCCTCGACACATGCAACAAGAGCTCACGAAGTTGCACAGATATCATACTTTACAAAATACTTTTCGAACGAGTTGAGACTTTGAGAGTTTAAAAGCAAAGAGGTAACACATCGATCAGTTATGACGCGAATCACCACTTTTCAAGTTGCAGGAATCCTAGGTGAGACAAAGAATATTCCGTTTTTATTACAAATTTCGATATTACTATAAGACCATTTGGTTCGACATGTTATTTTCGTCTTCTTACACACACTAGTGTTTTGCCATTAGTTTATTTTACATGTATGTATTATATGTTCGTTTCATTCACAATGTCTTGGTCTGTGTTGGTATTCATTCTTTAAATGTGAAGCGGATTAAATAATACTGAGCCCACCAGTTTTTTGTAAAACTCGTGTTGGAAATGCAAAATGTATTGGACCTCCTCTTCACGATTAAATGGTTTTGATATACATGTATGGGTCTTCTAGAAGAAAATGCAACTAGTTTATTTCGGTGGCAACTTAACAAAAACAATTTCAATGAAATTTCGTAGTCAATGCTGTACCAGAAATCGGTATGAATTTCACAAAAAATGTATTCTTGAACTAAAAAGTTATGACTTTTTTTGCAAGAAGTACCCTGTTTCAAATGCTAAAGTAAGCGCCATTGCATAGCATCGATGTGCAATAAGCGTATAATTGTCGCTTTTGTGTTACACAACAAGCCCCTCCATTTAAGTCATTCTAAACTCATATTTCCTTGGTGACATCACCATTGAACATTTTAAATTGATATTGCATTCGTATAATGTCGTGAATGACGTTGACAAATATCTGAAGTATTACATAAAAAAGGAACTATTCCGAAAAGTCGTTGATGCAAACAAAATTGGTCACTCGCTATTATCTTCAACTTATTTATATTTCGATAATTGTGACGTAAGCTATTTACTGTAGCAAACAATCGAATATTGATTTAAAAGGAAAAAACAAAGTTCTGCGTTACCTATTCAGCGATTGAAGTTCAGCATCAAACACCAAACATTGATTTTAAGATATGCATTATCAGGATATCTATGAACATCGCTGTACATGTCCTTTAGGATTCTTCACAATATTTATATTTCGAACGATATGTCTCAATAAAGGAAAAATATACTTAAAACAATAATGCACCTTAATGCTGAATTATTCTTAAAGATAAAGACCAGTTATGGTCATGCGATTGCATTGTGAAAGAAACGGTGTGGAATCAATCAGAAAAGGTTGATCATCTAGTATATAAGTATTGGTGTGTACTGCAAGGTTCTAAAATCATCAAAATGATAAGAAATTTGGCCCAGTCTTGGTAAAGTTACAGGCACTGTACACAGAAAGATGGGACTACGCACACGTGCGCGACACGTGCGTTTATCTCTCACATACCAATCGATAAACTAATTTACCAAATATATCAATTAGTAGGCGGTTTCCCGGCAAATTTTTTATCATCATGTATTAGTCAAAACATATTCTTTCACATGATTGGTAATAAGAGCTTCCATTTCATATTTTGAAATTTGGGCGTTTCCAACACTGGTCTTTACCTTTAATTCTTAAATCGCCTTTTGTAACAAGATTTAAAGATGAGTAGAGAGCATACCAGGTAATGGTTAGGCCCTATGTATACACTTATCGTGCACTGGAGCTAGTCTTGTCACAATAGATTAGTGCTATGTTTTACAAAATGATCATCACTTTCTTATTTTACCTCAATTTTTGTTTTTAACCTGGAATACTAGGTAATACTTGGGAACATTAATTTAAAATTATCTACGAATGTTTAGTGGCAATGGATAAGTATTTTTTAAGCTGTTGCCAATCAAAATATCATTGCATTTTTATTGAGACTCTCCGTATATTTCAAAAATCTAAATAAATCCAATACATACCGGTACTGCAATAATAAGTGCAGTTACTGCGGCTCAGCGTAAATTGCACGGCGTAAGCGCCCCAACACCGCGGGAGTTGGCCGTTGGAGGCATTTGAAACCCTGTACGCTCTGTGTGTGTGTAAAAATCGCGGAGGGGTTACGCGTTCTATCACAGGGTTTGGGCGTTCTATCATTTGACCTTAGGTCGATGACAGAACACCGAAACCCTCTGACGCAATGCTAGATCGAGATGCTCCATGTCATGTGATATAGTTTCGACCAATCAGTGAATAACAATCTACGTATTATGAGGTATATAAAATGATTCATAACATATAGGCCTATCTGTCTATCAATCTATCTATTCATTTCTCCCCCATATTCTCCTTCTCTCTCTCTAGGCTCTCAGAATATCTCTTTTTTATCACCCGTTATTCTATTTTGCCAGAACACTATTTTTTAGAATGCCATTGAAAAAAACATATAATAATTTTCTTAGATCTTGATTAGTTCTAATTTCTTTCTTATTTTTGTAATTGAAAGTGGCAGCACTGATGTGCTTCTCAGAAGTATGCTATGTAGACAGCCAAACTACCGCCGGACCTACAACAATGAATGACGTTACAACTGCTGCCCCTGCAACAACCACTGGACCTGCAACAACCACTGGACATACAACAACCACTGGACCTGCAACAACCACTGGACCTGCAACAACCACTGCAAGCAACATGACAACCACTGCAAGCAACATGACAACCACGTTCAGCAACATGACAACCACTGCAAGCAACATGACAACCACGTTCAGCAACATGACAACCGCGGCAAGCAACATGACAACCACGTTCAGCAACATGACAACCGTGGCAAGCAACATGACCACAGAGAATGGAACGACAAGCAACACCCCGTCAGGTATTTGTAGGCAATATTAAAGACTTGATTTTAGTTCGATTCTTAAATCATATAGACCGCAAATATTTTCCCTTTAAAAGAAAAAGGCCGTTGTAAGGTAAAGGGATACAAATTTCCTGAAGATTACTTTGTGTATAACTAGAATGTTTAAAATAAGCATCAAAAACTTTACTCGGCATGAAGAACGGAGGAAATAAAACCACGGACGCTAAACGAGCGCGTAAAGACGCTTTGACTAGTTTACACATAAGTCCCATTATTTGAAATTCATATTTTGAATATATCATTGCGACTAAAAACCCCTTTAATACACGTGTATTGTTGTTGTTGTTGTCGTGGTAAGTATTGTTGTTATTGCAGTTGCTGACGTTGATGTTGTGTCCTTTAAGTTTAACTTTAAAGTTTACATTCATTCCATGGTCATTCCATGGAGTTCGAGCATTTTTTCTGTGGCATGTCTCTTATCAACCATTATTACATACTCTCCTTACATAAACTTTTTGAAGTACTCGAGCTTCATGGTGAATCAATGTTATAGACCCAAATATTATGTCATGTTATAGAAATGTGACGTTCATGCAATAACGTTGATAAGAAAAATATTTAAAATGTAATTTAAGCAAATAATTTGAAGAGAAGACGGAAACCGAAAGGAGAAGAATTCTGGCAGGGTACTTACTTATTAATACAAACAAAATTCTTCACCATATGATTTCAACTTCCATGTGTGCAGTAGTAAAAATATTATAACGACGTTGCATGGAAATCATCATGCCCCCCCCCCCCCTCTAAAAAAAAAAAAAACCCTCATGAAATGACCCTCTAACTGTCACAGTGACATCAGGAGGAACAACACCAGCCCCAGAAGTCCGATGGAAAGTGAAAGACAAGAACGGCAAACTGTGTATGCTCATGGACTTTGGTGGATCTATAACTGACGTATGTTTGATCGTTTATCTTTTCTTTATAATATCAGCAAGTTTATCTATATCACAATTGTTATCATATCACCACTGCTTTGATAATTGATGAGAATGAGGTTGTTTTGGTGACGTAAAACAAGCACCAGTGACGTACATGTAAATGGGGGGAATGTGGAATGGGGGGGGGGGGGGTCGAATAAGATGGCAAAAAGGGAATCTAGTTCATGCAGATTTAAACTTTCAACAAAAATATTTTTTATCATTAAAAAAACTGAATGGTAAATTGTAATAAACTTTACCACTAGAGGGCGCTCTTTCAAGCGCCATACACTGTCTGCGAACATGAGCATCATGACCAGTCAATTTGGAGCAGTAAAGAACTCCATTTTGTAGCCCTCGTACCGTTCACCTATTATAAAGCTCGATGGCCCAAATTCACAAAGGAGGTTTGTTGACAAACCTAGGTTTATGTGCGTCATGATGATTAAGCGTTTCGATGCATGTCAAACCAAGATTAAGACCAGCCTTTTGACAAGGCCTCGTGACTGGCTATTTTCCACCCCAATCAGCGGCTGAGATGAGTCTAGAGACCCGGGGTGAACGCGCGATCGAGTGGCTTTAGCCGCGAGGCCCTTTGCTGCTTTGCATGAATTATTCATGACTTTGGATTTATTGACCAATCACAATGGCCATCTCCTAGTTAATTTCATTCGTAATTCGTTCATTATCAAAACATGTAAGAAAAGGTAAAAGACGTTAACAAGATTTGCTTATGAGATGAACATGATAAATGATTAATACAAAATATTACCTCCAAACCTATTTTACATGCAAAATAAAAATAAAATAGGAAGCATTTGATGACTTGAGCTAACAATTGTAAGTGAGATAATTGGACTTTCCCTGTATATAAAATGAACCAGTCCAACTCGTTTCGTTCAATGTTATAAGTATTCGTAGTACTATTTTTTTTTGTTTAAACGAAAAGCACATCCACCCCGACTAACGTTATCACTAGCTCTTCCATTGGAACCCTCATGTCCCATTGAATTTTGAAAGTTCACCCACCAAAGTGAATGCAATTTTTTTTCTCACTACCGTCACTACGTGAAAGCAGCGACGATTTGATCAAAATAGGTTGCAAGCTCGTCATTGCCTATAATACACATGTGAAACGAGTCGAACTTTGGACTCAGTTTGCCAAGCATGAATTATCATAGATCACTACTGCTTAATTGGTTCATTATGTCCATTTTATCCAACCCCCACCGTAATTTTTTTCCATTTAATAAAAGCAAACATATTGCCGAGGTATTAAGCAAAAACATGAATATTCATGAACGGTCAGACAGTACAGCCTTTTAGTATGAAACGTATAGTGAATGGGAATGGGCGATGATCCGTCCAGGAGGTAGAGGTCAGTGGTTTGTGCTGGCAATGTTCCAGCGAGCGAAAATGAGACAATCGGAGCAATATGAGTTGGACGCTACCATTTCGGTAGAGAACTCTAGCCGGAAACAAAGGTTAACATAATAAATCCAAACCAGATTACTAAAGGCCACTTGGCTTAGCCACTCGCTCTGGCGTTCACTCGGGTTTTCGAGATTAGTCTGTTTTGAGTCACTCGGCGTCTATCAGACATAAGGCCTTGTCTAAAGGCCAGGTTAAGACAAACCTTGGTCTGAAACGCGTCAAAACGCGTCATATGACCCACATAAACCTAGGTTGATCGACAAATCTCCTTTGTGAATTCGGGCCATTGTGTCTGGACGAAAAGCTGATGTTTCGCTTCTGTCCTTGCTTCTTACAAGTACATTCGTATACAAAGCATTGTCCAATAAAACAGTCGATATCATTGTTTCCTAAGGTTAAGTATATTTTGTTTAAAAACGTTTGCAAGTGGATTGTCTGACGTAGCAACAACATGTTTCCATCCACAGATATCCCATTATACATGGGAGGTGAATCACTAGGTGGTAAACAAGGGATCGAGAAAGAAATATGCATACATTGGTAAATAGGATGAGTCTATTCTGAGCCTCAACCACAGTATCATACTTAAAGTTTTCCTTCGAAAAAGAGTTAAACATACCATACCCTGTCAAAATATTACATAGTCTCTCGATCTGACTAGAAAATAATTTACTTGCAGCTCATTAAGGGTGTGACCGTACAGATACCGTCTGATGCGTCGACATCCAGATCCGACTGCACCTCATCTTCTTATTCAAGATTTGTCTTGGATTTTAATACTCCTACCACTGGATATGCAATTGGCATGAACTTCACCACTAGAGGGGGCTCGTTCAAGCTTGATAGAATATCTGCGGGCATGGCATCCGCTGGAAGTAAGTTAATATGGCGCATATTTATCATTGGTTCGATTCCATTTGATCTTTAAAAAAAAAGACAAAAAGTACAACGCACATTACATATATGATGGAGGGGGAAAGGGTGAAAAATGCTATGCGAGGTTCGTCTGATCTTTACTATTCGTAATTAATATTAACACATACAATTTGCAATCTTTATCTATATTTTTATATACAATTAATGATATTTCATTACATAACTTTTTTATTTTGCGGGAATTTACTGAAGGAGGATTATTTTTTCTTAAACCCTTCGGCCCGCTTTACGATTTCATTTAGATAGGGGAGGAGCTGCGGAGGTGGAGGAGGTTTTTAAGCCTTGTTTTTATATTGATATCTATTTTACATTGATATCTATATATGGGATTTAACTATTAGCAACGATGGAGAGGAACATATAAATGATAGGAGATTTTATTTTTAAAAAGAGAAATAGACAGCCATAAATGTAGTCACATTACGATAAGATGTACAAATCGAATAACAATATATTTAAACTTTACTCTATTTGTTACTCTATCCCCCACCCCACCCCACCCCCTAGCGTCTTATTCCTCTTCCGAGACTGGAGACTTCTTTGATGTGCCTCTTGGCGACTATTACACCTGTAGTCACTTCAACTACACTCTTGGCTTATTTCAGCTCAACTTCACCAACCCTTTGCTCCAGCCTTTCGTCCAGAAAACCGAAGGAGGGGACAATATTGGACAACGTAAGGAAATAATCATTTTCTTTTTCGAGACACAGATAACCACAAGGCCCGAATTTCTGTGGGTTGATTACATATTGAGAAGTAAAAAGAAAATAAACGTGATAAAGAATATCATAAAACCAAGCGCACGAATCCAAATCCGGATATTGGCATATCGATGAGTTTGGGAACCGTTCGCGAATGTGAGCGCGTAAAGTGACTCTCACACTCTGCCGTGTAGGCCTACCGTGTGCCACCGTGCGCGAAAATGTCTGCGGACGGTGGAGAACGGCGAGGGCACACGGTGGTTCGTTATCAAAGCGGGCAACACGTTAATAGGGCGTTGGCGCTTATTTACACCCGGTGGGACCCGGCGAAAGTTTTGGGCATGTTCAAAACTTTGGCCGGCTGGCACCGGCCGCAAGTAAGCGGCAATAGGACGGTGTTGAACGGTATGAGGACGGTATGAATACGTTATGAAAACGGTCACACTGTATGAACACGTTCACAACACGCTCATAACCCGTTACAGAACGGTGATAAACGGGCAAAAAAAAAATCTACCGTCTGCAACGGGTTGTAAGCGGGTTGTGAACGTGTCATGAACGTCAGCAGTCCGGGGACTCGCTCACAGGACGCTCCGAGCGCTGAGGGGACGATAAGTGACTGGTAGGTGGCTGCTACAAACCCGGTGCACACGTTCGAGACCCGGTATGGAAACGGCCAAAATTTTCAACAAAAGTCAATCTAGGCGGTGAAGACGGTAGAAGCACGTTCAACACCCGGTATGCGACCGGTGAGAACGGTCAGAAGATGGCAACGAAACGGTGAAAAAATTAATTTTATGAATTTTTTTTTGCGGCCGGGGACAAGTTCGCTCAAAACCCAACGTTCTGGACTCTGTTTTTTTTTTAATAGCCCGGCAGTTGGACGGTAGGCCTACACGGCAGAGTGTGAGAGCTCCATAAGGGTGCGTTGACCAGTTTACTTACAAGTCGATTTTTGTATTTATCGAGACCGTATTCTCGCAATATCTCTTTATAAAAGTAATATTTTAAACTCTTTGAATATATAAGCGACAAGCAGGGAACTCAAAACACAAAGGGCAATATTTAGAACCAAATTCTTGTTGGTTAGTTCTGTTAATTCTCAATGTACAACGCAGATTTGAATACAGAGTCACATAGTTCAATGCGCCGTACGGCCGCCCGTGGTGCACCGTACGGGCGCCTTGACGGCCCCGGCAGGGCACCTGGAGCCATGGGTTGCTCCTGTTTATCAGACGGAGCCCGTACGCTTACCGGCTAGCACCCGCCCGGCACCCTTACGGGCGCCTTGCATTTCCCTCGACCAATTTTCACCGGGCACCTCCCAGGCGCCGCGGAATATGTGACCACACGTGCCGTAGAAATGAAAATCGGAAGGGTCCCGTACGGTCAACGGGATCAACGCCAAGCCGCCCCTGCCACCGGGTAGGGAAAATCGTACGGGTCCGGTTTATAAGTGACATAGGCATTACACGGACACACTGCAATTGGAAAAGCGGGGGGAGGTGCGGGAGGGGTGAAATAGTCCGTTTCTGTCCTACGCTGTAATTGCCAGTGTAAATTTATTTATATTCTACATATTATCAAGCGATAACAATATTCATTATCATAGTAAATTGACCAAACTTTGTGCATTTTACAATGATCACTACCAGTGTCATGCAAGTGCTTCGTGAATATCTTTTTTTCGCCCTCTTACTCTTAGAACAGAATACTCCTACCTGTATTCCATAGAATGTATCGTCGGTGCATAAATGAATAATGTTTACGTAACTTTCATGAGCACGTATCTAGGGTTTTACAGTTTTGTACAAATTACCCTTTTCTGCCCATGCGCAGATTGTATCTACGAAGTGACTTATTGTAGCGTTTTCCATTTTTATCTCAATATCTCACCAGCATATGATTGTCGAACTGAACACAGTGAGAGTCACATCGGTATCATCGTCGGGGTCGTCATCGCAGTCATCACGCTCATAGCGGTCATCGTAGTGACGTACTGCGAGGTGAAACGGCGAAGAAACCCGTCTACTCCTCCCTATGTTCGGACTAAGTCAGAGAGTGCATGATGAATCATTGACCCCACGTTTCAGACTACAATAGTTCATCGTATGTACGATAATCGTGTAGCTGTACGATTAGTAATTAACTTTTTCTAGTCTTTAAAGGGAATAAAAGTGTTGGTATAGGGCCATGAATTTGGTTCAAGTGACATATTGGAAGCATATGCGATCCTTCAATATAAAGTGATCGTTGTCGCCGTTGAAATCGAGTCTAAAGTTATGAAATTGCAAATAATAAACTCTTTATGTCGTATAGCTTCCTCTCAAGTTCAAGATATTAATTAACCTATACAACAACGTTTCTTGACTAAAATCAACCGGTTAGCTATTTCCGTTTGGAAATTATATATCACAACTACATACTCTGAGATTTTCACGGTCGCAGCTACCATTGTACGGTCGTCGGCGCTATTTAAAATTTATCAAAATTTACCGGGAGCACCGGTAAAATTTTTTAATCAACTTTTCTCGAAAGCAGAAGTGCTAAATTTTCTAGTGCTTATAATACATCCACAGGGGCATCTAAATATATCAAAATTGTAAAGCATCACTATCCACCCAATTTTCAAAATTTCCCCAAACTTTGTATTATCTTTACCTCGCATGATTTTAGAAACATTACATATATACCTGAAACGCACGTTAGAGCATCGTTTCAAACGGAAACTTGACAAAGAATCAGCATTCTGCCCTAGCCTGAATGTCGAATTAGACGAAAGTCCTATATCTGGTTGGGGTTAAGCGTGTGCGCGTTGTAATATTTGGCCACCCGTCATGTACATTAACCTTTATGAAATTAGTTATTTTTTATACGCCTTTTTTTAAATTAAAATGCAATATTCTTTTAACTGTTTTATTTCTCGTCACAAAGAGATCGACAACAGAAAGAAACCAAACATTACATTACCCCCCGAATAACCGAGAATCAGTCGTTTTGGAGCTGTTCTTTTCGTGTGAATGTATTAGATGAGAAGTAGAAATGCCTTTACAATCTTTTTCTTCTTAGGTATTTGCTTTGGTACCTTCTTATGTTAGACTTTTGATTACGCTATGGTAATTCTAATTGCATACACAGTACTGGCAGTACTAGCATGACTAAGAAATGATGTTCTTCCCATTTTGGGGGAATTATGAAAACAAATGATTACAATAGTGATTTTTTAACGATACAAATATATTTCGATTATTCATTATGCTGTACTATGTTCTATTATGCCCTGATTATTGTTATTAGGTGATAAATTACAACATGCAGTCATGCTTAATTAGTTTGAATGTTAAATAACTGCAGAAGCCACGAGATTCGATCGTACATATAGTATGTCTTCCGGAGGAGGACTAGAGGCACTACAGCGGCACTACATTTTGTAAAATAAACTATATAACTTTGCAACTGAGATTAGAGTACTGATTTTTTTTCTTCATTTGTCATGAGCGAGCTTGTTTTTTTAAAATTTGTTTTGATAATAATTTGGATTCGGAATTAGGCTTGACTATTTATTTGTTATCGAATGTCATTATCTCTTTATTACGTCTCATTAATAGAGTAAAACGTGAATAAAGTTACACGTATAATAGTTGTCATTTATCTCTACTAGAGTTCCTCTAGATTTCTTTAAATTTTATTTATTTATTTATTAATTTATAATTTTTTTCCCTATATTTTTTATTTCATTATTATTGTTTTATTTTAATTGATCAATTTTTTTTGTGCAGTGGGGGGGGGGGGGGGGGTAGGGTTATAGCATTCATTTTCTTCATGCACCTCATACTCTTTCCCCCGAACAATATAAGCGGAAACTAAAGAAACAAAGGGGGAAATAAGTGTGATTGGTGGCCGGAAAGTTAGTAGACGTAAGAAACAATCGACAAATCTGGACCATAATTATGCCCTTTTTTAGTGTGCGATGCAATCCACTTTTATCATGATTGAATTAATTTCCTATCATTCTTCATGATTCCAAAACCTTAATGTGTAGGCCTATGTCACCTTTTAATGCCAATTGCTTCCGGACAGTCTCGTTTTCAAGTAACGTAATGGCTTGTCCAGAACTCCACTTTATCGTTATTAAGGCCTACTGATTTGTGTTCACAGGGCCGCTTAATCAAAGTTTCTTTAAATTGTTGGTCTATTATTTTCTAGAGTATTCATTTCAAATACAATGAATACAAAATATTAAAAAAATTCTGTTCGGTGTGTCGAAGAAGAACATCTTAAACAGATGATCTTGATGCTTGTTGGAATCTTAAAAATGATTTTTTTTCCCTATATTTTTTATTTCATTATTATTGTTTTATTTTAATTGATCAATTTGTTTTTGTGCAGTGGGGGGGGGGGGGGGAGTAGGGTTATAGCATTCATTTTCTTCATGCACCTCACACTCTTTTCCCCGAACAATATACGCGGAAACTAAAGAAACAAAGGGGGAAATAAGTGTGATTGGTGGCCGGAAAGTTAGTAGACGTAAGAAACAATCGACGGTAGATGAACAAATCTGGACCAAGGCCTACTGATTTGTGTTCACAGGGCCGCTTAATCAAAGTTTCTTTAAATTGTTGGTCTATTATTTTCTAGAGTATTCATTTCAAATACAATGAATACAAAATATTTAAAAAATTCTGTTCGGTGTGTCGAAGAAGAACATCTTAAACAGATGATCTTGATGCTTGTTGGAATCTTAAAAATGAGAGAAAGATAAGAACAACTGACGAATTAAAGAAAACAAAAAGAGTCCGGGTACTATTAAGTTTTGAGTAGCGACGTTAATAGCTTTTCCAATATAGCGTCAGGTATTACGAAAATGTTTTGATTTGATTTTTCAGAAATTTTCGAAACTGCAAAACAAAAAAAATACTTGGCAAACCGCGCCTCATCAGCATTATCTCTCTCTCTCCCTCTCTTTCTCTCTGTTTCTTTCTCCTTCTTCCTTTCTCCTTCTCCCTTTCAAGATCTCTCACTCTTTCTGTCTTCCTTCCTCCTTCTCGCTTCTCGCTCTATTTAATTCTCTTTCTTGATCTTACCATGTTCCTTTAAATCTATGATCAACTCATAATGTAGTTCTCTCTGTCTCTACAATTTGAAAGTTAAATTGCAATACAATTAACACAATCTCAACTACTTTCGAAAAATCAGCTCGAGCAATTTCATTACCCTATTTCAATGTCCCAAATATTCGGAGTACGTAATATATCATCAGTTACGTAGCTACGGGGAAACACGTGGCGCCACCCATCGAATGAAGATGTAAAAAACAAGAAAAAAGTTCAGAGCGTGGGGAGAGTTACAAGATATATCTATATAACAACAAAGTATCTTTTTCTCTCTCGTTTGCTTCAATTTCATAACATTTTCTATTATTCATGTGTTTTTTCTGAGTGGAAAGAGGAAACCAATGTCTTCACTATGATTTCCTTATTACTATTTTTGTTGCGCCTTTGTCAGAATCGAATACTAGAAATCTGTGATATTTGAATTTTGATCCTAACTTAATGACGTAGCCTGATTTCATGAAATGAAAGCGAAAGCAAAGATCAATACAAAAATGGTTACCTTAATTTCATTATCACTTTCATTATTACGGTGTACTGTTTATGCTCACTTCTCTGGCTCCTCCAGGCATGATTCTGGCTCAGAGCCAGAATCATGCCTGGAGGAGCCAGAGAAGTGCAGTGCAGAGTCTGCACTGCGCATGCTACGTTGACCCCATTTGAACACGTTTTCAAATGATTGTGCGTTTATGCAGGGACATGTCCCTGGTTTATGCTTCCCCAGTATCGCTGATTTTGCAGAATCGCCGATCCAAAACGCACCTTTTTGTGAGTTTACGATCGGCGATTACGATCGGCGATTATGATCGCCGTTTTTCTGTGATTCTACAAAAATGTGAAAGGACGCAGTTGTGTATTGAAATAAACGCGTAACAAATGCCTCATTCTGGCCAGAAAAAGCTGAGCATAAACGTACCCTTAGACACACAACGCCCTTATTAAGTAAATGATCATATGTTGAAATAGGAAAGGGAAATTTAGTAATTAAAAACACACATCTTTTTTGAAAATAATTCTTAAAAGACATCAAATGACCTAGAACCACCACACAAAACATTACAATTTTTGGAAACAGGGTGATATATTAATAAGTGAGAATTCGAACAAAAAATTAAACGGAATTTCTTTAGATCCCTCATTAAACTATAAGTACCAAAACAGAGGGTGTAATTTAATTAGATAGAAAATTCAATACAGATGACGCTTCGCCTCTGAATATTGGAAGAAATAAATACTTTATCGACAGCCCATGATAATTTTTCTTTCTGCATTGCTTGTCTTGAAATTATGTACCGAACTGTTGTGCGTGAACATGTTGCATAGGCACACTTTAAGTCTAGTAAAGTAAAGTAAAGTGATACTGGGTTTCTAGTACTGATTGATTGATTGAGTGAGTGATTAATTGATTGATTTAGTGGTTTATTAATAACAAATACTGGACAATTAGCAGAGCAAATGGAAAGGAGCCTCGAGGGAAGCGTCACAGAGTATTTTTGCCAATTTTTGTTCGATTGATGCGGCTTCGGAGATTCATAGCTTTCTTGTTTTGGGTCATATTTTGCTCAAGCTTTTGCTGACTGGTTCCTCTCATTTGTCTCCATATATATATATATTGGAACCAACTTAATACCAGGGTGGACTTAACCTTAATGTACCCATATACTTTATACCTATTATTTTGCGTGCACTTTTTATTTATAATTTTACTATTATATAATGTAAACTTCAGACCTAATTTGGCTGCCGACCATGTATATTTTATGTCACTGACTGTTTTAATGTTGATTTTAACCTTGAATTGAATTGAACGATTTATTGATGATTATACATATTTATGAGGACGATAGGTATAACATATCGAAACGTCGAGATAGAGCATGAGTGGGCCCTTTTTAGGGCCAACTAACCCTGTCGAAAAAATATGTGGTGTAACAGAAAACCTCGCTCAAATCTAACATTGCAATGGACTTTGTAACATCATTCAATTGAGAGAAAATGGTGCAAAGGAAGTGACTTCGATGCTGGATTAAAGATAATCTGAAATTCTGAGTAAAAACTGACCATTATTAACGATAGAAATGGGAAAAAGTGATCTGAAAGATTCCTTAATTCTCCCAACTAAGTTATTGCAATCTAATTACATTTAAGGTGAATGTAAATCGTCACAAAGCAATGAATTGGCTCTATGTGCCAGTCCA